TACATTCGCCTCACATAGGCTTGTAACAATGCAACTTTGCTATCATTGAATAAATCAATTCTTTTTTGCTTTACTCTTTGTGTTATCACATCTACACGAGTTACCTCTTGCCATGAATTCAATTCAAAACAACCTTAAAAAACACTTAGGAAGACTTAGATAATCAATATAGCCTGGCCAGCTGGATTATCTAAGCCTCTTTATTTGTTTCAAGAGGTGTCAATATTAAAACGTGGCCACGGACGAATATATTTAAGACCCAAGCGGTCCAAACAAAGGGCACGACCCTTATCAAAAACCTTGGGAGATTGATCCCCTCCTCAAGTACATCGCGTATATGCTAATGTAAATACATATAAGCAACGCATAAATTTTCGACAATGTCAAAATAAATAAATTGAAATATTAGACTTCAAAGTCAAACACGGAAAAAACTCAAACAAAATAGTAGTGGACATACCCATCTACATCAGCGATAAAAATAAAATACGAAATCCATAAAAAAATAATAGCAATAAAAAATAAAAGGGAAAAGTTAGCTATCCTAACAGATAAGTCTAAGCTCCCCTACCGCGAGCGGAAGACGTACCCGCAGTAGAGTCACCCGCAACCATGTCATTCACGAGCTCTGTGCCCGTCCCATTGACATCTACCTCTTCCTCCTCTTCATCGGATATGCCAGCTTCCATCCCACGAATCACTTCCTCGCTGATCCCACCCGCATCGCGCAGATATTTGCGACAAGCACGCACTAATGGCTTATAAACCACAGCCAGCGCATGCTCCTCAATCATAGCAGCACACTCATCACTACCTCGGAAACTAGCTTTAGTCTCCTCCACAATGGACTCCTTATAAGCCGCACCACCTGATGTCGTGAGGAACCTCTTCCCCGTCGCCTTCTCAGCTTCATATTTCTCTTTCAGCTGATCGTAACACTCGTTCAACTTATGAACATCATCCTTATACGCCTTCGCATCACCCCGGATAACCTCGAGCTCCTCTGTCCTCCGAGCAAGCTCTTCAGAGCGTAGAGCGAGATCGGACCACGCTTCCTCCAACTGACTTAGAAGCTCATCCTCACGTGCTTGACTTCGAGCCCGATCCTCTTCCTTACCAGCTTCCGCATTCCTACCGTGCTCCACGAGGTATCTCCAAGTCGCTACCAACTAAAAAAAAAAAAAAAAAAAAAAAAATTTACACAAGGAAGAGAGGGAGTAACGCCTAATCTTGTTTTAAGTAAACAAAGACTCACCCGACAGATGTCCCCACCGGCTAACTCCAACATGTGAGAAGGACCCTTACCAGACATCCGAGCACGATCATACTCCTGAACAAATCCCTCGGTACTCAACAAGGGCAAATCATGGACCGACACATCCCAATACGACTCCTTACCGTCGCGATTCACACCATAGGTAAACAATTGTTTCCCTCCTCCACCATGGAAAGCATAAGTCTCCTCTGGATCTACCCGTGGACGCTTAGGCACAGCCACATACTCAGTATCCACCCTCTTTCCCTTGCCACGATCCCTCTTCGGTGGACGCTCTTCCACTACGCCAGCACTGCTACGATCATCTGCTACTACTCGAGGACTTTCTACATGAACCTCCTCGCGAGGCAAACCATTCGAAGAACCTCCCAACTTAGAGGGAACCTTCTTCGATGCCTTCTTCGACGTCCCATTCGCCTTCGCTCGAAGTGCCGCAAAGGTGATACCACCATCTACAAAAGATAACAAACACATAAAAAAACATGAGGTATACATGACCAAAGAACTACAAAAAAAAAAAAAACAAAAAAAAAACAAAAAAAAAAAACAAAAAAACAATTCAAGGCAACAAAAGGATATACGATGCTGACCCTCCACCGTCGGTATCAAACTCCTCGGATCAAATTCCACATCGCACAACCCAGATTCCTCAATCCTCTTCGCCATATTTGCAGTTATCGCGAAACTCTCACACGTAGGATTCCAAACTACGGGAACGTCAAAAGTGGGAGCCCTCACGTAAAAGAAATAGGTCTTCCATTTCCCCAAAGATAGCTTCACACTCTTCACGAATTGGTAATGAACGCGAGGATGAAAGCAAAAGAAAGGCATCTTAGTGGGCCGATGTAACGTAAATAACGCCTTGAATAAACTCACAGACACATGCAGACCTACTCGAACCACCCTAAAATGAAATGCCTGGAACATCAGAACAGCAGTGGGCGTTAGCTGACTGTACCCAATCTTGAATTCCTCGCAAACCTTTAACAAGGTAGGATGCGGTGTAATCTGAGATGTGCACATCAAGTACCCCAAAAATACCGTATGAAACCCATCGGGTGGCGAATACAAGCGATCGCCCTTCCTAGGCAACAACAACTCCACATTACTCGGCGCTCCAGATAAACGACGAATAGAATGCAACTGCTCTTCAGTCAATACACTGTCAAAATCAACTAAGTCCAAATTAATTAGCTTCTTTTTCTTTTGCCTTCTACTATCAACCTCAACATCACCCGGCGGAATATCATCTTCCTCCTCCTCCTCGACCATCGGCTCAACTTCACTACTTGACACCGGATGTTCACTCGCCAAAGGAGCTTCATTCGAATCATCGCTATCACTCCCAAAATCCAAGACTTGACGCCTATAATGACGTCTACTAGAACCCACTTCATCAACGATAGGGGGAATAGTAATATCCTTATGCACTTCTACATCGTCACTCCACGATTCAATGATTTCTCGCCGACCAAAACTTTCTCCATTAAAAACACCACGTGCATCAACACCCTCGACAGTTTGGTCATCGATTTCGCTCGAACCGGGTCGAAAACGAACCTCCAACGCGCCCGCACGCGCGCGCGTGACCCTTAATGGGCCTGATTCACGCGCGCGCGCGTTCTCTGCTGCCACGGAGACACGTGGCCTCTCCCCACTCGCCCCAGCCCGCGCGTCTGCTTCACTCGGCCCACCCGACGCGCGCGCGCGTCGCTGCAAACCCCTCCCCTCCACGCGCGCGTCAACACCAACACGTGGGCCAATGGCGCGCGCGCGTCCACACAACCCTCCAACCGACGCGCGCGCGCCCCCCTCCCTCTCCTCCACTGACGCGCGCATGCGTCCCTCGAAGACCGTGCCTGACGCGCCCACCTCACCAGCTCTCTCCTCTCTCCTCTCGTGGGAAATTGTGCCAGCCCCCACAATGGCGGCTCGGCTCGGCTCCTCACACAGATTGGAATGGTTGGCTCCGCGGCTCGAGCCGTCAGCCGCACCAACCCTACCCACCACCCTCCTTTTCGCTTCGATTCGCACACAAGCCGAAGCGAATCCGACTTCCGCATCTGTTACTACCCCCTTTTCGCGTTCAAGACCCACCGTACCAAAAGTTTTCTTACCCCCTTCCACCGGATCTCGAAGTTTAATTCGTAAAGATTTCGAATTACCCGAGTTCGACATTAGATAAAATTTTTCTCCAAAGAAATAATCAAGCAACAAAAAATTTCTACTCTACCGATATAAAATAAAAGAACAGAAAGCAGAAGAAGACCTAAGGTTAAAGATACATACCCATATCTATTACGCAAGAGTTGAAGTTTAATTCTTTCCACCACAAAAGGAGTATATTTATTTGGCCCCTGGTATATTATTTAAAACCCTTAAATATATACCTCGCTGCCAAATAAATACAATTATTCCTTATTCAAATTAAGGAATTAATTCACCACCAACGGAAACAATTCACTCCACGACGCAATTAACTCTCGACACGACCCGGGTCCCTCTACACAAGTCTCCGTCTCGAATCGAGAGTTGGGGGGCTTAATGATATACCTAATTGGGCCGACCCAATGGACCCCAATTTATTTAATAATTAGGCCCAATACACGAAAGTATTCGGGCCCATTACACGAAAACCCAAGCACCTTCAAAGTAAGGCTTGGGCCCAACAAAATAAGCCCAACTCAATCAACGATATATAAATAGAAGTTTTATTCATTTGTAAAGGTACGTTCTCATTTTTTGACTATCAACCTCGAGTTTATTCTCTCTACTCTCTCTACGATCCGTACATCTGACTTGAGCGTCGGAGGGGTTTCCGCCGGATCAACCCCCGGCTTAGTTCACGTGTGCTCATTTTGTAGGGACCTCAGGAACATCGAGTTGACTAGCTACTGATCAGCTTTGCTCTCCCAGCTCGTTTTCTATACTATCCTAGGTGAGCTATATTTTAGCTTCATCATTTTGGCGGAGTCTCAGAGCCGCCTCGAAGAGCGGAGGAGTCTTAGGGCCGCTTCGATGAAGCGACGGAGTCTCAGAGCCGCCCCGAAGAGGGGAAGAGTCTTAGAGCCGCCCGCCTCGAGGAAGCGACGGAGTCTCAGAGCCGCCCCGAAGAGCGGAAGAGTCTTAGAGCCGCCCGCCTCGAGGAAGCGACGGAGTCTCGGAGCCGCCCCGAAGAGCGGAAGAGTCTTAGAGCCGCCCGCCTCGAGGAAGCGACGAAGTTTCAGAGCCGCCTCGAAGAGCGGAAGAGTCTTAGAGCCGCCATCCTCGAGGAAGCAACGGAGTCTCAGAGCCGCCCCGAAGAGCGAAAGAGTCTTAGAATCGCCCGCCTCGAGGAAGCGACGAAGTTTCAGAGCCGCCCCGAAGAGCGGAAGAGTCTTAGAGCCGCCCGCCTCGAGGAAGCGACGGAGTCTCAGAGCCGCCCCGAAGAGCGGAAGAGTCTTAGAGCCGCCTCGAGGAAGCGACGGAGTCTCAGAGCCGCCTCAAAGAGCGGAGGAGTCTTAGAGCCGCTTCGAGGAAGCGACGGAGTCTCAGAGCCGCCCCGAAGAGCGGTAGAGTCTTAGAGCCGCCTCGAACCAAAAGAACTACGGGAGCGGCCAACGAAGGTGGTCAAGGCGATCTCAACCAACCACTTCAAGGTAACGCTGGAGTCATAGAGCCGCCTCGAAGGGAGAGAACGACGGGAGCGACCAACCTTGCGGGATCTTCAGCGCCGGTCATTTAGATGACTGCAGAGGAATTACAAGCCTTAAAAGAGTATCGCTCGACAACCAAAGTTATTTCTCTGAACGAGCTCCTCGAAGAGGCTCACCACCACTCGCCTCGGTGTAGCGCATCCTCAGATCGTGAGCCTCGAAGATACGCTCGCCACCAATCGCCTCATCACAACCCATCATCGAACCGCCCCCTTCGAAGAGAAGCTCGTCGCCGGTCACCACGCCCCTTGAGGCAAAGGGCTCCTCCAAGGGAGAGAGCGGAGCATAGCCGTCGAGAGAGAAGTGTTTCTTCTCGGCCGGGTGTGGCACGCCACGAATCACGATACAACAGGAATAACGAGCGCTCCTATCGCCATAGAGGCTCTATTGGAAATAAATTTGGAAGTAGATATTCCCAATCTGAAAAGAAAATGAGTCGTGATGGCATTGATGACCGTAACTCAAGGAGACCTCGACGAAAAGCTTCGAGGCCAACGACCGCTCGCTTTGAAACATTCCCCGCTCGAATAAGCCCATTTGTTCCTGCCATTATGGAAGAAGTCTTACCCCTCGGATTTAGGATCCCCCAATCTACCCCAATTTGACGGGACCGGAGATCCCCAAGAACATTTAAATAACTTTTACGCCAAGCTTGACCTCTACGGCCTCAGTAACGCAGCTTACTGCAAGATTTTTCAGACTACGCTGACTGATCACGCACAAGTTTGGTTCAACGGCTTGCCCGGAGGGTCCTTAGACAATCTGGACCAACTAGCGACACATTTCCTTAACCACGACTCAATGAATAAGAAATATGCCAAAACTGGATCGTATCTCTTCAAGGTCATACAACGAGACGGAGAGCCACTCAGAGATTACATACAACGATTTGTCAAAGCAGTACATGAAGTGCGCCACGTTACTCACAAGATGTTAGCCGGCATACTACAACAAAATTTGAAGCATGTTCGTTTTCGAGAGTCCATCACGGGCCGACCCCCTAAGACCCTGGAGGAGCTCTTGAACCGCGCTGGGAAGTACATACGGATTGAGGAGATCACGGAGATGAGAGTACCCCTTAAATGAAAGCGCGAGGTGGAAAGCCACAACTGTAATAGAGAAGAATAGAGACATCCCATCGAAAATCGCACCTTCGGGAAGTTCTCACCTCAAGGATAAACTTCTTGACATTATGATCATCGCTGAGCAGAAGGGTATTCTTCAACCACCGAAAAGGATGAATGAGAATCCAGAACGACAAAAGTCGGATAACTACTGTGAATACCACAGAGATCGGGGTCACACTACTGAGGAGTGCTTTCAGCTTAAGCAATCACTCGAAAGACTTCTCCAAGATGGGCACTTGAGCGAATTCCTAGAACAATCGCAATCCTGAAGAAATACTTTACTTAATATTTATTATTGCCTCACGCGGGCTCCATGTAATTTCTTTTCAGCAATAAGTCGGGGGCATATCGTCCCGCGCAATATTTCCAATCAGGTAATAAGTCGCTAGCATACCGCACCGCTCAATATTTCCAATTATGTAATAAATCGGCGGCACACTACCAGCCGCAAGATTATTAATAAACTATTTTAGCCGGTGGGATACCGCCGCCGTAATTTCTACATCAACAAAAGTAGCTAAATGGGAAGATATCAAGGATCACAAAGGGTCTGGCCAACTCGAACCTTGGTTTCTCGCTCCCAGAGCTCCAAAAAATAGAGCAACTAAAGCTCAAGGAAGTCTGATCTGCCATAAAAGTTCGTATAAAACACTTAGGCAAACGGACTTCCCACATAAAAAACTTGAGGGTCTGATCAACCGCCAAGTACAGAAATACGGACTCCCCACTAGGCAATAAAGCCAAGGGGTACCGTTTCACCTAGAAAGATAAAGCATAGCTCATTCTTCACAAAAATACGGACTTCCCACTAGGCGTTAAAGCCAAGGGATACCGTCCTACCAAAAAAGATAGAGTAAAAGCTTATTCTTTACGAGAGTCGAGCCTCCTACTAGGCGATATAGCCAAAGGGATACCGTCTCACCGAAAAAGATGAAGCATAACTCATTCTTTTCAAAAATGGACTTCCCATTAGGCGTTAAAGCCAACGGATACCGTCCTACCAAAAAAGATAGAGTAAAAGCTTATTCTTTACGAGAGTCGAGCCTCCTACTAGGCGATATAGCCAAAGGGATACCGTCTCACCGAAAAAGATGAAGCATAACTCATTCTTTTCAAAAATGGACTTCCCATTAGGCGTTAAAGCCAACGGATACCGTCCTACCAAAAAAGATAGAGTAAAAGCTTATTCTTTACGAGAGTCGAGCCTCCTACTAGGCGATATAGCCAAAGGGATACCGTCTCACCGAAAAAGATGAAGCATAACTCATTCTTTTCAAAAATGGACTTCCCATTAGGCGTTAAAGCCAACGGATACCGTCCTACCAAAAAAGATAGAGTAAAAGCTTATTCTTTACGAGAGTCGAGCCTCCTACTAGGCGATATAGCCAAAGGGATACCGTCTCACCGAAAAAGATGAAGCATAACTCATTCTTTTCAAAAATGGACCTCCCATTAGGCGTTAAAGCCAACGGATACCGTCTTACCTAAAAAGATAAAGTAAAGCTCATTCTTTACGAGAGCCGAACCTCTCAATAGGCAATATAGCCAAGGGATACCGTCTCACCGGAAAAGATAAAGCAAAACTCATTCTTTAGGAAATGCGCGAGTCCGATTAAGCACTAAAGCCAAGGGATATCACCTATTAAGGAAGATAAATTAAGTTCTCGTTCTTGAAGAAAAACGGACTCCCAATTCATGAAGTCTCGAAGCATTTTCCAAAACAAATTAGCCATTGGCAATTTTTTCCGAAAAAGATAAAATGCAATTTCGGTATTTTCTCCTAACAGAAAAAAAAGGGGGAGATACGTATTCAAACGACCATTTCTTATTTACTCCCAGGCAGGTCCACAAGGCCGTGGCCCAACCTGGGAGTGGGGGGCTTAATGATGTGTCTAATTCTTAATTGGGTTTTTGGCCTAAAAGGCCAAATCAATCCAATTAATAATAAAAGCCCAATTATCACATCTACTAAAATTCAATAGGATTTTAGTTATAACATATTGTCCCACATCGGATTTCTACAAGAAGTCTCCATATTCCATCACCTATAAATATGTGATTTAACTCATATAATAAGGTAAGCACTATTTAGGCAATTAACTAATATTATTTGCTTATATTGTGATAGTTTTCTGACTTGAGCGTCGGAGGACAATCGCCGGGCCACCCCCGGCGTGTCACCTAGTGTTTTCAACTGTTTTGTAGGTTAACGAGTGGAGCGATCCCTTCGACTACCTCGGACGCGTGGCAAGGACTCTCGGCATTCCCGATATTGGGCTTGAAGATTCCCGGACTTAGAAGATCTGTGGGCTTCAAGACCATTGGGCTGACCCATCATTTTTGGAGCAGCATCAATTACATATTGTACTAAATTTGTTAAATTCTGTTATTATATGTAAATTGTCTATAAAGTTTTTTATTTAACAAAATTAAATAATTATTTAATGGATAAATTTGTAATTTCTCATTTTAGTCACCCCTACTAAATTAATCGTAGGGGATGGGTGTTACTAATTTCATGACGTAATAGCACTTAATTGCGGGCTTCAACTTTAATAGCGAACTTGAATAATGTTGAATCCTATCAACCAAACATCTTACTAACTCCTATTATTTAGTTAATCCAATCTAATAGTAGCAAGCAAACGAGACATAAGGCAAAAGTATGATAAAATATTCAATTTTACGACCTATTTAATTTTCAAATGTCCATTTCCAAAGACTATGGTGAAAATTAACGGTCAACGTAAAAGACAAAAGTGGTACAGAATAAACCCACTAGCTCTATATATCAAAGCATATATATATACATACGTATATATCATTAATAGCAAATAGAATATTGCAAAAGAAAGCTATTGTGAAGAGTGTATTTTTTAGACGAAAGAAAATGGTTGGTGAAGAAATTTTATAAACAAAATGAGAATTGAGAGCTATACATACCCATAAATTTTTAATCCAGAAGAATGCAATGTCCACGTAAGCAAGTTTTATCTTCACAATAAAAAGGATCCCAGCCATACAAACAGCCATATGCAGCTGAAAAGATGGGCCCGGCCCGGCCCGCCCCCCCCTGCCTTTAAGAATATATACTGGAAAATGTCAATTACCCAACCAATGCATCTTTCATATACATATATGATATATTACATATACACACAGCTTATAATTCAAATAGAATTACAGACAAATTCATAAAAATAAAAAAAAAAACATGGAAACAATTACGTGGATATATACTCTACTCTCTCTCTTCCTTGTTCTTATAGCCTTCAAGTTTTCCGCAAAATCCGGGCAAAGAAAACTCCCACCGAGTCCGGCGACGGCGCTTCCTCTGTTAGGGCACCTCCACCTCCTCAAATTCCCAATTCATCGTACCTACTACGACCTCTCTCAGAAGCTGGGCCCCATCTTCTCTCTCCGTTTGGGGAGCCGCCTCGTGGTGGTTATCTCCTCCCCCGCCGTCGCAGAGGAGTGCTTCACAAAGAACGACGTCGTTTTTGCCAACAGGCCCCGTTTTCTCAGCGGCAAATACATCGGCTACAACTACACCACCGTCGTGGGCTCCCCGTACGGCGACTACTGGCGCAACCTCCGCCGCGTGACGACGGTCGAAATCTTATCGTCGGCGCGTCTGAGCACGTTCCGGTCAATAAGAGAAGACGAAGTGAAACGTATGCTGGAGAAGCTCGGTGGCAACTCGGTCGGAGATTTCGCCCGAGTCGAACTCAGGCCCCCTTTTTCGGAGCTCACTTTTAATAATATTATGAGAATGGTCGCCGGAAAACGGTACTTCGGCGAGGACAACGACGAGGCCGAGCGGCTTCGAGAGCTTATAGAGGAAGCTTTCTCCTACAGCGACGCATCAAATCCGGCGGATTTCTTCCCGGTGCTGAGATGGATTGATTACAAGAATTTCGAGAAGAATCTGACGAGGCTGAGTGGGAAACTCGATAGTTTCTTACAAGGCTTGATAGATGAACACAGATCCAATAAGAACACAAATACCATGATTGATCATTTGCTCTCTTTCCAAGAATCAGACCCTGAATCCTACACTGACGTCATCATTAAAGGCATTATTCTGGTAATTAATTAATTCGATTATCCTTCATTATTATTTTGGTAAATTACGAAAAAACCCTAAACTTAAGATAAATAACGAAAAACACCCAACTTATCCGTAATAATCAAAATCCCCTCTTACAAAGTGTTGATTGAATTTTTTGATAGAAAATGTGTACAATTTATAATACTTTATGTTAAATAGATGGAAAATATAAGAAAATATTTGATGTAAAGTCTATTTTCTGAAAAGAAAAAAAAAATCCAAAGTCATGTTGTAAGGGTCAGTGTAAGACGGAAACCCACATCAGTGAGTTCTTGGTAATTACGACTAGATGAAGGTGGTTTTTGTAATTTAATTTAAGTTTAGGGGAGTTTTCAAAATTTACCGTATTTTTAAGTACTGAAAAAATATATTTTGATGAATTTGATACAGGTTATGGTACTTGCCGGAACAGACACATCGTCGGTGACTATAGAATGGGCGATGTCGGCGCTGCTCAACCACCCTGAAAAGATGGAGAGGGCGAGAGCTGAGGTGGACACCGTTGTCGGAAAAGGTCGATTGATCAACGAATCAGACATACAAAATCTGCCGTACCTTCAGAGCATAATTTCTGAAACTCTGAGGTTGTTTCCGGCGACGCCGTTACTGGTTCCGCACGAAGCATCCGCTGACTGCAAGGTGGCGGGATACGATATTCCACGTGGCACGATCTTGCTGGTGAATGCGTGGGCGATCCACAGGGATCCTACGGTGTGGGATGACGCGACGAGCTTCAAGCCGGAGCGGTTTGAAGGTGGCGGAGAAGTAGGAGCGCCGAAGCTGATGCCGTTTGGAATGGGGAGGAGGTCGTGCCCGGGTGTGGGTCTGGCGAATCGGGTCATGGGTTTGGGTTTGGGGTCTTTGATTCAGTGTTTCGAGTGGCGGACGGTTGACGGGGCGTTAGTGGATTTGACGGAAGGGAGAGGGTTGTCGATGCCCAAACTCACGCCGTTGGAGGCCATGTGCAAATCACGTGATGTCCTTCAAATAGGTCTTCATGGAGCAATCTGAGAATCTCATGGTTTGTCAATGTGTATTACAATTTACATCGCGTGCTCTATGTTTCAGGACCTTATTAATCAGTACTATGTTTCATTAAATATTTAGTTAAAAAAATGTGGTTATACTTTACACTCATTAAACATGTGACTTGTTGATTATTTATGATTTTATTAAATACATATTTAAACGAGAAAGAGAAATATGTATTGGCTGAAATAGGTCGGATATAGTTTTACCATTTATTCACATATGAAACACACACATCTATATGGGTGTGTAGGTGAACGGTGAAGGTCTATCGCGATGTGTTTCACCAGATGTAATATATACCTTGTTTGGGGTGAAGAATTACCGATTTCATGTCTAACTATAGCATAAAAAACTAAAGAAAATGAACTATGCTCATATTTAAATCCGAAAAAGAGTTCAATGTCTAGAAAAAAACTATAAATGTCGTAGATTACACGGAGAGTTAGATACTACACCTTGTTTTTATTACATCAGGTGAATTTCAATCATAGATCTGATTAAATAACCACCACTAAGCTGTTACGTTGTAATTTGAGCAAGAAAACATAGTTTGAGAATTAAGAGAAATCGAGATATATGAATTATGAGGAGAATTAGAAGAAGAATTAGAGAAGACAAAAGGAAGATAATTGATTCATAAACTTCATTAATTTGCCTATCACGTAACATTCTAATTACCCTATTTATAATACTCATAAATAATAATTAACTACCACCCCACTAACCCCTTAAACCACACTAACCCACTAATTTAATTCATGCCCACTAATAAAAAACTACCCACTAACATATAATTTGACTAATTCTAATTAAATTAAATAATAAAACATATCATTCCCGCCCGCTCAAAATATCCCTGTCCTCAAGGATATAGTCTTGATACGTGTATGAGATCATTTTGTGAATTCAGTTGATCGGGTGATCCATCACATATTTGAGAGAGTTGTTCGAACTCTTCATGGTAAATGGCATCAATGAGTGTTTGTTTCATGAAACGAGTGAGGGCTTCGGAAGGATCGTCAAATTCGGTAGGACTAAAACGGTAGAGCAACGCCTTAGTAAAATATTCCCTGGCCGACGAGCCCTTGAACCCAATTAACCGGCGATTCCGTTCCAAAGTGAGTCCTTCCAAACGAAATGATTCGAGGTGCACCTGCTGATTTTGGGCAATACTTTGAAATTCAAAATATTGCTTGGCTTGGAAAATCCATTCCGTTGCGTTATCTGCGGCGACTTTTGGAATTTGTTGTTTGAGGTTTGTATTTGGGGCAGGGTATGGAGTTGAGTGTGTTGTAGGTATATTTATTTTTTGCTTGACCGGTAGTGGTGTTTCTCCCACAACAAAGGAGTTGACATCATTTTCGGCTTTGGAGGAGGCTCTTAGAGCTCGAAGTTCGGTGAGAACAACTTGGAGGGTGTTGTGTATTTTGTCGAAATTTGATTCGTGTCGAGCTAGGGTTTCAATAACCTCAGCACGAAACTCAGAATCTGATTGGTTACGTGCCTCCATGGAACGTAACGGCTCTGATACCATTGTTACGTGGTAATTTGAGCAAGAAAACATAGTTTGAGAATTAAGAAGAAATCGAGATATATGAATTATGAGGAGAATTAGAAGAAGAATTAGAGAAGACAAAAGGAAGATAATTGATTCATAAACTTCATTAATTTGCCTATCACGCAACAGTCTAATTACCCTATTTATAATACTCATAAATAATAATTAAACTACCATCCCACTAACCCATTAATTAATCAAATCACCCCCACTAATTAACCCACTAACTTACTAATCTAACTAACTTGTTCCACTAATTAAATTATGCACGTATCATAAGCACACATATACTTGGACGTGTGTAATTATGTGTAGATTTATGGATGAAATACATACAGTGTAAATAACTAGGTATAACATCTAATCACATTAAATTACACAAAAAAAATTACCATCCAAGATTAACTCGCTCTAATATGTCCGTGGTGATTTCAAAATTTTGAATTGAGGTGTTCGGAATTTAACATAACTAATAACGTTTACATTTTTTTTTCTTTCGCATTTTCCTATAATTATAGAACATGATAATTATGGCTACAAATACATCAGTGGTGACCATAGAATGGGCAATGTCCCTATTGCTCAACCACCCTCAAGCCCCTCAAAGGGCCAAATTCGAACTCGGTTCACAAATCGGCAACAACCGTCTAATCGAGAAACAAGATCTCCCAGTTAGTGGCCCAAAATAATTATCGATCACGTTTCATTTTTATAAATAGTATTTATTTTTCCCGAATCATTACTAGAGATAGAAATTATGATGATATTACAAAACCCGTCGATTTCAATTCGAAATTATCTAACTTTTGAATAGAATATTCTATTCTGAATTTTCGAAAATAATTTCGTCAGATATTTCGAATTGAAATTGTAATATGTATTAAGATTTCGATTTCCAAAAATAATTATTGGTCCATCTGGAATCTCTTTTTGACCGGGACCCGCAATGTTGGTGGATGACGTTGTCCGGATCCGAGAAGGATAAGATTTGTAGAGTATTTGAATAAGAAAGAAGACCGGAATTATGTCGGAGTTTTCATCCCACTTTTTTTCTTCATTCGAAACGAACCATGTTTATTTAGCTTTAAAAAAAAAATCCCAAAATGACTTCTAAAGTTTCTCTCAACAACGGACATGATTTGACTGCTATATTTTATTTCATGATACGCCTCTTTATTTATTGGTTCGGGCCTTTTCCAGGCTTGTTATGTGGGCTTTTTGCATGGCCAGGTTGGGCTCTCTTTATTATGGGCTGCTGTAATCTGGGCCTGGATCAATTATAAAAATTTACATTAAAAAACAAAAATCATATTTATTAAAAATTATAAATATATTCCGAATATCATGATTTTTAGTATCTTAAAGTATACTTCTCGTGGTGTAGCTCAAATTAAATTTGACTTGTACTTTTTTATTAATTTTCAAAGTTTTGAAAAATCCAAATTAGAAAGGTCAAAGATGACAGACTATGGGTCAAATTACGTATAAAAAAGCAATTTCTTTTCTCTTTCTGGATTTAAGCCCCAGAAAGCCAACATGTTGACGTACAAGAAGCTAACACGTACACATTTAATCACTTACGAAACAGAAAAGTTGTCATGAATCTTTGCTCACTGCTTACGTCACTATATTTTATTTTTATGTAAGATAAATTTTAGTATAATCTGCACCAAATGAAATACATGTGTAGTTTTACACTTTTGATCGAGTCGTAATAACAAACAGCCACGTGTATATATACATAGATCATAGTTATTTATGCAGTTCCACGATTTAAAAATATATAATATATTTCACGAAGTGTAGCATTTGATGAGCTTGTAAGATACTGTGTGTTGTGTATTCACTTGGGCATAAAAATCAAATTAGTAAATATTTCTAATGCAATGAAATCAAATTTAAATATATATTTTAATTAGTTATATAAACTATGGAAGTTGGTTTTAACAAGAGCTCAATTAGGGCAAGAGTATGATCGATGAAATATGATCTCGAGTTTAATTCGTGTTCCACTCAACTAAAACTCGTTCGGACTCGATTCAATTGTTTGCCAAGTCAAGTTCAAGTACAATTTTCAAAGTTCAATTATATTTAGGGTAAATTACGGCCACCAATTAGAGTAAACTAATAAAACCGAACTGAAATTTCAATACGCCAACATTTCATACCGTTTACCGAACTACTTCTTCAAATAATACATTTCCAACGACTATGGTGAACTGTAACGTTCAAACAAAAAGACAAAAAGGATCCCACTCGGAAAAACAGCCACATACAGCTGAGCAAAGGGTCCCCGCCTTTAATCCCCTCTCTCTCTCTCTATATATATATATAATATCTATATATATTACAGATACACACAGCATATAATAATAGTAAATCAATAAGCATGGAAACAATTACGTGGATATATGCTTTACTCTCTCTCTTGTTTGTTCTTATCGTTTTCAAGTTTTCTGCAAAATCCGGGCAAAGAAAATTCCCACCGAGTCCGGCGGCGGCGCTTCCTCTGTTGGGGCACCTCCACCTCCTCAAATTTCCACTTCATCGTACCTGCTACAACCTCTCTCAGAAGCTGGGCCCCATTTTCTCTCTCCGTTTGGGGAGCCGCCTCGTGGTAGTGATCTCCTCCCCCGCCACCGCAGAGGAGTGCTTCACAAAGAACGACGTCGTTTTAGCCAACAGGCCCCGTTTCCTCATCGGAAAGTACATCGGCTACAACTACACCACCGTTGTGGGCTCGTCGTACGGCGACCACTGGCGCAACCTCCGCCGCTTGACGACGGTCGAAATCTTCTCGTCGGCGCGTCTGAACACGTTCCGATCAATCAGAGAAGACGAAGTGAAACGTATGCTGGAGAAGCTCGGTGGCAACTCGTTAGGAGATTTCGCCCGAGTCGAACTCAGGCCCCTTTTTACGGAGCTCACGTTTAACAATATCATGAGAATGGTTGCCGGAAAACGCTACTTCGGCGAGGAGAATGACGAGGCCGAGCGGTTTCGAGGGCTTATAAAGGAAGCTTTCTCCTACGGCGGCGCGTCAAATCCGGTGGATTTCTTCCCGGTGCTGAGATGGATTGATTACAAGAATTTCGAGAAGAATTTGACGAAGCTGAGTGGGAAACTGGATGATTTCTTACAAGGCTTGATAGATGAACACAGATCCAATAAGAACACAAATACCATGATTGATCATTTGCTCTCTTTCCAAGAATCAGACCCTGAATCCTACACTGACGTCATCATTAAAGGGATTATTCTGGTATTATTCAATTTGATTATTTAGTGAGATTTCTCACGAAATGTGAGCTTTTGTTTTGTAAGATTTTGCACGAAACGTAAGAGTTTCGGCCATATTCCAGTTATTTCGTGGAAAAACACACGAAATTAGTGCTTGTCTTTGGTGAACACAAACACGAAATGCAAGCATTAATTTCGTGTGTTTTTCCACGAAATAACTGGAAAATTTCATTTATTTTAAGCTTTGTTTTATTTATTATTATTATTTATACTGACGTTAATGGCGTCTTCTTTAACATATGGCAGGCAAAGGCAAATCAAAGGCAATTATGCGAGCAGTTCGTGAAGAGGCTGAGCATCAAGAGCGCGAGCGCGAGCGCATGACTATGTCTACACGACGTAGACGAGAGGCTGAGAGAGCTGGTGAAGCCAGATCATCAGTTGCAGATCCCGATGTTGGGTCTTCTCGTGCTATGGTAGAGGAGGAGGATGCTGTGGACCCCGTTCACGAGACTGAGGTTGTAGTTCGTGGAGGTTATGGATGCCGACGACGGGGCCGTGGAGGTCGTGGTGGTCGAGCTCATACTCGAGTTAATCCGGATGTGCTAGATGGTCCATTTCCCGGTGGCCCGCGGGATCCGTCTTTGATTACGAGTTTCAAGTCGCACGTAGCGGCATATATTTGGAGGGGAGAAGTAAGTTAATTACTTGTTTTAATTTTATATTATAATTTATGTATCTTATATTAAAATATTTTTATAGTTGATTAATTAATAAGGTTGCTAAATAAATGATTGCAGGAACGTCCGGTTGGACGACTGGAGACCCGTATCAACTCCCTGAACCATTTCTATTACGAGAAGATAGCAGCTGCCCTAGAAGACATAGATGTATCCGTAGACAAGCATTTTCTGCGGATGACCAGTTTGTATCCCCTAACCCGAAGTTATTTACAAACAGCTTCCATATGCCGTGGGGAGAGATGACTATGACGATGTCCAGATGATTCTAGGTGCCAATGTGGAGGGACGGGTGGTCGCGCCTAGGTACGATGAGGTCATCGAGAGGACAAACTGCGTGTATTTGCTGTCCGAGGTATTACACCTCGATTTTGAGGAGATTGACGAGTCATGGAAGCGTGGGGGCCCCACATGGAGGATGATACATGGATAGTTGTTGATGCCCGACACGCCCATGAGACGCCGAGTTCAGATATATATGGTGTTTCTCCTCGGATCGATTTTATTCACCGACAAGACATGTGATCGGGTGAAGTCGTGGTATATGCACGTGCTCGTAGATTCAGTGCTTGATGATGTCGGCATGTATTCGTGGGGTTCGGCATGTTTGGCCAATCTATACAGGGATTTGGGTATATGCAGCCGAGCACAGTCGAGGAGCTTGGCGGGTTGCACCACCTTTCTTTCTTCAGGTAAATTTTAATATATTTTGTACTTATTTTATTCATTTTAAAATATTTTAATAAATTTTAATATATTTTGTAAATTTTAATATATTTTTATAAATTTTAATATCTTTAACTAAAATATTGCAGTGATGGATATACGAGTATTTCCCGAGATTCCAGCCGCCGGAGGAGAGCGAACAGTACTGCGAGTTTCAGCCTCGATGCAAGAGGTGGAACGCGCTGCCAAAAGCGGGCACGCTCGAGCATATTCGAAGTTTACTTGATTATATGACAGCGGATGATGTAAGTTTTTTATATTTATGTATTTAATTTTTTTTTAAATATGAATTTTTTGATTTATGTGTTTATATATTTTTTTAAATATGAATTTTTCGGTTTATGTTTGTAGTTTGTTTAAATATGAATTTTTTGATTTATGTATTTATATTGTTTTCTATTTAGGTTGAGTGGCTACCGTATGGTCGAGATATACACGAGAGTATCCCTCGTACGTTGTATCATGGCACAATCCACGACATGTGGGTCGTAGAGCCGTATATGCCTGATCGTTGCGTCCGACAGTTCGGGTGGGTTCAGGATATTCCGCGCGGCTTGATTCCATCGATGGAGCCATGTTCACGCGGTCCCAAAGGATGTACATCGTACAAAGTCAACTACCCATTTCCGAGTGGTATGTGGGACATGGTCCAGGCTCATTCCATTCGTGCCAACGTATACAAGACGACACGACAACGGGGGGAAGTCGACGAGCACTACATAGAGTGGTACACCGATCGGACTCATCTGAAGATCATCAACCCCGACGTAGGCTCGACTCCAGTGCATCGAGAGAATGTGAGGCCACCAGATCAGCCGGCTTATTACCAGATAGTACGTGCATTGTACCCGATCACCAGGAGCACTGGACAGGACTGGATGCAGCAGGTTGTCGATCTACGTGCCGACCTTGAAGATATTATGCAGCCCGTCGCCCGATATATTGGCATCGACCAGGACAACGACGACGACGATGACGATCATGAGGTGCAGCCGTCGAGAAGAGCGAGGCGGTAGTTTATCGGTTTTTTTTGCTAGTTATGTATTTTTATGAACTATTTAATTTGAAAGTTTATTTTTATTATTATTAGGACTATGCATTTTTATTATTCTTAGGAACTATTTAAATTAATAATTTATTTTTATTATTATTAGGAACTAATTATTTTACTAATTTTGTTTATTATTATTACGAACTATTTAATTTACTTGCTTGTTGTTTTGTTTTGTATTTTAATTCACTAGTTTTATGATTTGAATTTAGAACTTACGTACAACTGAAGCAATTAAAATACACATTCAAACAACCTTACAAACAACCTTACAAGTTTAATCATTCAAAAAACATAGTTTAAACATAAAAAAATGCAAAACACAACGCTACAAATTTAAATATTCCAAAACATAAATTAATCATTAAAATGCAAAATTAAAACAAATACATATTTAAACATAAGTTAAACTATCAAATACCTGGCAGATGGTTATGATTACCATTACTCACACTCAATCGCCATAATCCATCCTCCGTTGATTTTTTGTCCATTAACCTGAACGGACAAGAACGTTTCTTCAATAGTACGTGTCGTCCAGATTAATATCTCGCACACGTTAAAACATGATATTTTTCTGATTTACAATGATTAATCAGTCGATGATTATGACTAATTGTTGTGTCTTTTGCCCACATAATTAATGCTTCTCTACTATCACACACAATATCACGTTCAAAGAAGTGACTTTGATCATGAGATTGTTCTCTTAGTTCCTACATAAATATTTGAAATTAAAAGACAATATTTAAGGGATTTCGTAGAAAAACATACGAAATGTAAGCTACCATTTCGTGTAAAAACATACGAAATAAGAGCTTCCATTTCGTACGTTTTACTACGAAATGTAAGCTTTAATTTCGTATGCTTTTATACGAAACAAACAACAAACGATTTTAAGACATATTTCGTATAGTATTACACGAAACGAAAGCATATATTTCGTGTGTTATAACACGAAATGTCTAAAAACGTTGGAAATGAACAAAAAACGTGTATTTTCACCTCAAAATCGAAGTCGTTGTCATCCATGCCGATAATACTTGTGCTCTAACTGATATTGGTTGAAAAATTGCTGAATTTGAAAAATTTCGAGAATTAAAAGTTGAGAGTGTTTGAGAGGAAGTTTAATTTGGATAAGATTTGGAAAAAAAAAATGAATTATTTTGCACTGCGAGTGGTAAAAACCGCACTGATAATAGCAAACCCCTAAGTTAATGACAAAAAATTATGACCCAAAAATATACTAGAGTGCCCTTTAAATGATTAAACATGTTTTGAAGGTGCAAAGTGCTGTAAATTATTTTTCAAGATGGAAAGTGTCCAAATAGTGTTATTTCAAGGGTGTAAAGTGAAATTAAGCTTCTTTCTATTAACGACTATCTAATTCGGACCTTGGAGAAGAGACAATTATTGTTAAGAGAAACAGACAACTATAGTTCTTTTTGGTATCTATTTTCCGAATTATGTCATGCCCTCAATTTTTGTCTATCGGATACATCATACATACATAGGGTTAGGTTCTCATAAGTCCATCTTTGGGATAGAATATATTTTCCTTAAGCAACAAGATTCTCCTCCTTAAAAATTCTTTCTCAATGGGTTATTTAGATGCTATGAAATTGATCTCGCAACGTGCCTTCCAAGCCGGCCAAGAAGTCTCCCCGGTATGACTACTTACGAACTCCTCTCCTAGAGCTAAGTACTATTCGAGATGAGTTTTCGAAAACTGGGCTTTACTTTTCCAGTAACTTAGCTAGATCGCGAATTGAAGTTGACTCTTTCGCCAATTTCACTTCCAAATCTTCATTATTTATCTTTGGGTCAGTCACCCGAGATGGACTCTCGTGTGAAAGAGCCGAACTTGCCTCTTTTCTTGAGCTCGAGCACGTCGAGTTCTTTCTTTTTGGCCCGAGCTCGAGCTCGTGTCCATTTTGTCGTGCTCGAGCTATTTGTTGATTTTTGTTTAATATTATTTTATTATTATTAAAAATTATTTTTATAAATTTACAAAATAAACAATTAATTGTAATTATATATATTTTTATTTATTTCTATAATATTTTATATTATTATACATTATTTAAATAAAATATAATATATAAAAAAAATTAATAATAAATAAGGCTCGCGAGCCGTCTCGTGAACTCACGAAAAACTAAAAACTGGCTCAAACTCGGTTCGTCAGAAAGTTCGAACACGAAAAATTCGAGTCTGAGTTCGAGCTTTTATCTGGGCCCGAATCAATTATGAAAATTTACATTAAGAAAATTATATTTATTAAAAAATTATAAACATATTCCGAATATCAAGATTTTTAGTATATGTTTGGTTTCATTTCCAAAACCAATTTCCAGTTCTATACTATTCATAAAATCGAGATCATGTTTGTTTCACAATTTTATCCAGAAAATCCCATTTTTTTCTTATCAAATTTCTATTGAAAATACACTATTCATACTTTTTTCAATTTTCAAACCTACTAAAACTTACTACTAACTTATATATTTTATTCCATCAACTCATTTATCTCTCCTCATTAATATCTACACTTTCTTTCCTCACAATTTATGTATCTACTACTACTACTACTAATAATAATAATAATAATAATAATAATAATAATAATAATAATAATAATAATAATAATAATAATAATAATAATAATAATAATAATAATAATAATAATAATAATAATAATAATAATAGTCATCATTACTATCATCATCTTCAATCATTATATTCTACTTTTGCGCGTACTTTTGTAGAGAAAATTCACCACAACCAAACATATTTCCATTTTTACACCTACATAAAATAAAAAATACTCATTCATCCAAACATATTCTCATTTTTTATACAAAAACCAATAAACTACTTTTTTCCATCAGAAATTTTGAAAATTAGAAATTCCTATAAGAAACATAACCAAACATCCCCTTAAAGTGTCATGTTCAAGTTCTCATGGTGTAGCTCAAATTCAGTTTGACTTGTAGTTTTTTTGAATTTTCATAGCTCTGAAAAATCCGGTCAAAGATGACTGACCATGGGTCAAATTAGGTATAAAAAAACAATTTCTTTTCTCTTTCTGATTTTCTGAAAAACAGCCGCATACAGCTGAGCAAAGGGGCCCCCGCCTTTCATCCACCCCACACACACACACTCTCTCTCTCTCACTCTCTCTATATATATTACAGATACACACAGCATATAACAATAAATCAATAAGCATGGAAACAATTACGTGGATATATGCTCTACTCTCTCTCTTCCTTGTTCTTATAGCCTTCAAGTTTTCCGCAAAATCCGGGCAAAGAAAACTCCCACCGAGTCCGGCGGCGGCTCTTCCTCTGTTAGGGCACCTCCACCTCCTCAAATTCCCTATTCATCGTACCTACTACGACCTCTCTCAGAAGCTGGGCCCCATCTTCTCTCTCCGTTTGGGGAGCCGCCTCGTGGTGGTGATCTCCTCCCCCGCCGCCGCGGAGGAGTGCTTCACAAAGAACGACGTCGTTTTAGCCAACAGGCCCCGTTTCCTCATCGGAAAGTACATCGGCTACAACTACACCACCGTCGTGAGCTCGTCGTACGGCGACAACTGGCGCAACCTCCGCCGCGTGACGACGGTCGAAGTCTTCTCGTCGGCGCGTCTGAACACGTTCCGGTCCATCAGAGAAGACGAAGTGAAACGTATGCTGGAGAAGCTCGGTGGCAACTCGGTCGGAGATTTCGCCCGAGTCGAACTCAGGCCCCTTTTTACGGAACTCACGTTTAACAATATCATGAGAATGGTTGCCGGAAAACGCTACTTCGGCGAGGAGAATGACGAGGCCGAGCGGTTTCGAGGGCTTATAAAGGAAGCTTTCTCCTACGGCGGCGCGTCAAATCCGGTGGATTTCTTCCCGGTGCTGAGATGGATTGATTACAAGAATTTCGAGAAGAATTTGACGAAGCTGAGTGGGAAACTGGATGATTTCTTACAAGGCTTGATTGATGAACACAGATCCAATAAGAACACAAATACCATGATTGATCATTTGCTCTCTTTCCAAGAATCAGACCCTGAATCCTACACTGACGTCATCATTAAAGGCATTATTCTGGTAATTAATTAATTAATTCGATTATTCTTCATTATTTTTTTGGTAATTACGAAAAAAAGCCCTTAACTTAGGTTAAATAACGAAAAACATCCCACTTATCAGTAATAACTAAAATTCCCCTCTAATTAACTGTTGATCGACATTTTTAACAGAAAATATGTATAGTCTATTATACCTTGTGTTAATTAGGTGAGAAATAAAAAAAAGATATCTTAAATAGTGTAAACTACATTATGTTGATTCATAAAAATCCCTGAAAATATACCTGAGTGGGTTTTTGGTAATTACGATTAGACGGAGGTGGTTATTGTAATTTAAGTTTAGGGGGGTTTTCGTAATCTACCCCATTTTTTAGTACTGGAAAAATATATTTTGATGAATTTGATACAGGTTATGCTACTTGCCGGAACAGACACATCGGCGGTGACTATAGAATGGGCGATGTCGGCGCTGCTTAACCACCCTGAAAAGATGGAGAGGGCGAGAATTGAGGTGGACACCGTTGTCGGAAAAGATCGATTGATCAACGAATCAGACATACAAAATCTGCCGTACCTTCAGAGCATAATTTCTGAAACTCTGAGGTTGTTCCCGGCGGCGCCGTTGCTGGTTCCGCACGAAGCATCCGCCGACTGCAAGGTGTCCGGATACGATATTCCACGTGGCACGATCTTGCTGGTGAACGCGTGGGCGATCCACAGAGATCCGACAGTGTGGGATGACGCGACGAGCTTCAAGCCGGAGCGGTTTGAAGGTGGCGGAGAAGCTGGGACGCCGAAGCTGATGCCGTTTGGGATGGGGAGGAGGTCGTGCCCGGGTATGGGTCTGGCGAATCGGGTCATGGGTTTGGGTTTGGGGTCTTTGATTCAATGTTTTGAGTGGGAGCGGGTTGACGGGGCGTTGGTGGATTTGACGGAAGGGAGAGGTTTGTCG